ATGAAGAGCTCTCAATGCATCAGCCTCAGTCCCGGTGGGAGGGCCAGCAAGGAACCCAGTCGAAGAGGTCTTTCGATCATAGTAGACAACTAGATCGAATTCGTCTCTCCGCTCAAAAAGAGACAACTCAACTTCAGGCGATACTACCAGTCGTTCTTCTAACTCTTCGGCCGAAAGCCCTGCTTTTAGACCCAAAGGCTCGACGCACATGATTGATTTAGCAAAAATGTGGCCTTGGTCAAAATCTTCACGACCCCGAATATCAATCAGAAGAATACTGGAAGTCTGAAGACGCTCATAAAGCTCAGGTGCCGAGACTGTCGATTTGTAACGCACCTCTGCAGACAGGGTCTGCGCAAGTGGGACCCCTTCAAAGCTCGCGCTCGATCTCGTAGATTGAGAATAAACAGTCGCTGACGAAAACTGCCCAGAAAGGCGTTTGCCAGACTGCGGAGAGTGTGAATTGAATGTGGGCATGTTATTCTTAACGACGCTTTTGGAAGGATTATAGGCAGGGCTCGGTGCTCTTGGTAATTGAGTCTCAGTTTCGAGGCTCAGAGGTATCTTTGGAGGTGGTGGAGGAAATTTTGGAGGTGGAGGAAATGTGGGTAGTTGCATGTCACGCGGCCCGGAAGGCTTTCCAGGTGCAGGTGGCCCTCCGGACTGTGGAGGAATGTAGGCAAGGGAAGACGAGTCCTCAGAAGATGACGGCGTATATTCAGTAGGAGAAGGTATCTCGACAAAGCCATTTTGTGATACGCTGCGCCGTCCTTCCGCAGGCCCTGCTGGCACATTCTTTCTCTGTACTCTGAGTTGGGAAAAGCGCTCGGCAAGAGCATCGTCAGAGGTAGGGCGAGGAGATACACCACGAGAGTTTGATCCGGCTTGAAGTCCCAAAGGCTTGGGACGCACGATTGGCCGGTCCCTTTGCTGTGTTGATGCCGCCTGTGGCTGGGGTTGATACGGCCCAGAGATTTGAGGCGTTGTTTGCGATGACGGCAGGAACAGCTCATCCGTCGCTCTATTACTCGTATTTGGGGTGTCCGGCATTGAAAGAGGTCGTTGATAGACATTGGAGAGTTGGCCTGTCTCGGAATACGTTGACGAACGACGCGACGACGAATATTGATCTGACGGTCTCACACCGCTCTTAGTATTGTCGTGGACAATTACGTTATATATCTGCTTCAACATTTCATGCTGCGTCGCATTTTGCTGCAAGCATAGTCAGCATTTCTATCCGTGACTCGCAGTCTCTCGGAGGTTAGTTCGCGCATGAATAAAGGCATGATTAAAGGGTCTCCTCACTGACCTTCCGCAAGGATTTGTATATCTGTTGCCAATCTCCTCTGCCACTATTCGCAGTGGGAAAGTCTTTGTGCTTTGGTATGATGTTGAGTAGCAGTTCTGAGCTAACGAGGTATTCCACATATGCCCTATCAGGCCGCTTGAAGCTAACATCCGTCCCGACCTGGCCTGTAGATTGCTGCGCAAGGCTCAACAGGGAGCGAAGCTAGTTCGTGTAAGTAAAGGCTCAAGCAAAGGGATGAATACTCAGAAAGATGGATAGGTCATTGTAGGGTTGACGTACTGGCATGCGAGGGTCAATATTCCTGACGGAAGCGTTCGCCTTCCCCTGTAGATCCTTGATATGTGAAAACCGGGCGTTGGATGGACCAATGACGTTCATAGTGGAGTTGGTGCGTTGACTATCAGTCCAGCTTGGTGAACTTGGATAGACAGCGCTCTGTCGATTCAACGGCACATGCGCATTGAATTGTGGAAAGACACGACCGATGGGAGGGTCTTTGATGGTCATGGTAGATAGTCAATACCTCGCCCGTATTCAGGATCACCGGAGGTCCAGACACTTAAGGCCTGTATCCATAGCGGTCCCCGCAGATGAAGGCGGAGAGTGGTTGAAAGCGAATGGCAATATGATGAGGGTGGTAAGTCTGCCTGCTTCATGGACGTCACCGCCCGCTAGAACATTGGAATTTCAAAGCACTGTGGTTCCTCTGTAATGTGTTGCTTGGAGTGGTTCGTCGGTGTCGGTGCTTGTAGAATAGGCATCAATATGAGAGTTGTTGCATCCATTGTCAGCGAATTGGACCATCTTTCACGAGGCATCACTTTCACCTCGAATTTACCCGCAGCGGGCGCTAAAATTTGCCCCGAAAGCTTCGTCATGCCAAGCCTTTTTGAGACTTGAGAGTCTCGGTCGATTCAACGACAGCCTGGACCATTTACCTGACATCCTAGACAGCTTGCCCACTCGTCCAACCTCAAGCATCATCTTTCCCGAAGCACAACAGAAGGTCGCTACAACAGAGGACTGTAAACATTCGTCCAGAGCCACCGGCCTTTTATATTTAGCTTGGGACATTCACAGCACCATGGCGAGCTGGTTTGCATCCAACTCCGCCCTCGATGAGCAGATCGAAAAGGCGACTTCTTCCAGTTTGGAGGACATTGCTTTGAATTTAGAGGTCTCCGACATTATTCGCTCAAAGAGTGTTCAGCCAAAGGAGGCTATGAGATCGCTGAAGCGACGAATAGGGCACAAGAATCCGAATGTTCAGTTGGCCACCTTGAAGGTAGGCTTCCCAACAAATCGAGATTCTTGAGCTGTCCTCGTGTGGAACTGACAGAATTTGCAGCTTACGGACACATGTGTCAAGAATGGAGGATCGCACTTCTTGGCAGAGATTGCCTCTAGAGAATTTATGGACAATCTGACGTCCTTATTAAAAGCATATGGTAGTGCTGCACCTAACGACGACGTAAAGACCAAGATCCTAGAACTTTTACAGGTCTGGGCGAGTGGTACAGAAGGCCGGAGCGATGCATCCTACATAGGAGAAACTTATAGGACACTTCAAAGAGAAGGCTTTCGGTTTCCTCCAAAGGTCGAAATGTCCAGCAGTATGCTCGACAGCAGCGCTGTAAGTGATGCTGTGTTAAGAGTCATAGTGAAAAGCTGATTCGCGAAACAGCCACCTGAGTGGATAGACTCGGACGTCTGCATGCGATGTCGAACAGCATTCAGCTTCACGAATCGAAAGCATCATTGCCGGAACTGTGGGAACGTTTTCGATGCTCAATGCTCTACCAAAACGATACCATTGCCCCATCTGGGAATCATGCAAGCTGTGAGGGTCGACGACGGATGCTACGCCAAGTTGACTGACAAGTCTCGCACCGGGCCTCTTCCAGAACGATCACTTGCCAAAGGGAACGCAAGCATAATAAGACACCGTAGTCCGATGCAGCCCCGTGATGCCCGCGTCGATGAAGGATTTGATGATGATCTGAAGAGAGCGCTACAGATGAGCCTTGAGGAAGTCAAAGGACACTCTGGCGCTGGATACGTCCCCCAATCTCAATTGCAAGTGCAACGAAAGTCTCCAATAACCGACGGACCCTCAAAGACTGCGAAGCCCCCAGAAGAGGAGGAAGATCCTGATTTGAAAGCCGCGATTGCAGCGTCAATCAAAGAGATGGAGGAGCAAAAGAAAAGGCACGCTGCCAATTTGAAGAAGCAGGCCTCAAGTAACACATCAACTGCAAATATGGACGTGGTAATGCCAAACAATAAATATGAGCTGACTCCGGTTGAAGCCGAAAACATTAATCTCTTTTCCACCCTTGTCGATCGTTTGCAGCATCAACCACCCGGTACGGTGTTAAGAGAGCCTCAAATCCAGGAGTTATACGAAGGCATCGGAGCTTTGAGGCCAAAGCTTGCGAGATCATACGGGGAGACCATGAGTAAACACGGTGAGTGCCGGAATCTGGACAAAGCAACCCCCACTGACATACTCAGATACTCTCCTCGATCTGCACTCTAAGCTAGCCACTGTTGTTCGGTACTATGACCGAATGTTGGAAGACCGTCTCTCGAACACTTACAGCCAGCATAGTCTAGGAGGCTATGGGGTCAGATCACATGCAGCACAATCAATGTATCCTACGATACCTACAGAAGCGCCAAGTGGCCAGGGTGGAGCAGAGAGCTACTACAACATGAACGGCGCGCCACCACAGATCGATACATATGCTCCTCCGCAACCGCAGTACAGCAACTACCCTCCGCCTCAGTCGCAATATACACAACGTGACAGGGCACCTTCGAATACATCATCTAGTTACGATCAACGCTTGCAGCACAACGCCCAAGCACCTCAACGAGCGTCCAGCCTACAAGGCTACCCACGCTCGCCAAATCAGATGCAGGAGCCCTCCTACTACCCTCCTAGTCAGCCTCAAAACCACCAACAGTACCAACCATCACCAATGGAACCGCCTCCTCAAACGCCTACCACGGAAGATCCAGCCGCAGCATATTACAACCAAAGCCAACCGCAGATCTCACCTTCTCAGTCGTATCCACAACAGCAAGCGAACCGCAGCAATTACGCCTCGGCACCATCTCCAGAACAGAGTCACCCAAGTTTGGCCCAACAACAGCAAACCTATCCACCTCAACAGCATGCCCTTCCACCACTTCAGCCACAACAACAACAACCGTACTGGCAACAACAGCAAACTCCCGCCGTGCAGCCATCGCAAAGATACAACGCACCTTACCCATCGATGAATGCATATACGCCAGATTCTTTCCCTGCAGCTCCGACCCATCAACCGCAACCAAAGCAAGTGGAGGAACAGCTGATAGAACTTTGACCGTACCGTACTCTGGATGATTTGGTGTATTTGAATATGTTTGGCTGATGCGAAATGTATGTGCGATAGCGCTGCAACAAGCGGGTAGGCAGGATAGCTTTTAGGATCATAATGGATGAGTGGTGAAGTGATAGAACTCCGCACATGAATGGAATGTGTCCGTGTCCTTCACACGATGCTACTCTGAGATGAATCGCAAATTTCTATTTCTTGGGTATCATCACTAAGATATTATACGCCACCTAAACCCAGAAGGTGCATCTTTCACACTGAAAAAGATATTCGCCCCTTGCCATCATCACCTTTGGAGAACCCTAGACCAGCGTACTTTCGTCAAATAGGTCATGTAGAAGATCATCGCAACACGCCTGGCGGTCCGGCGCCTCCATCCTGTAAGTGCTCTCAAAAGCGTTGATAGACAGCTGGCGAAGAAATGGGCGAAGAACCCGATCGACCATGCTTTCCATGGGGACGTCGCCCACAACTGCGCTTGTAAGTAACGGCTTGCGCAACCCCTGTTGCGCGCCGGCGAGCGGGTTGATGCCACTGTGTGGCGCGCCTGCACGGGAGTCCAGAGTCTCTGCCAATCCATCGACAAGGGCAACGGGCCGCCAGTCTGACGGCCTGTATACGGCGTCTATGGTGTCAGTGACGAAAAGCCATTCGCGTAGTTGAAAGTCGTCTGGTGCTATTGTCAACAGAGTGTCCAGGAGCTTTGCCGCTTGTAGCACGCATGATGTATTGTATGTGTCATGGGTCTCCGTAGGGTATAAGGACGACAGCGCGTCGTATAATTCGGCGTTGACGATAGGCCAGAATGATGCCAAGTGCACTGGCGAGGTCTTCAGAATGAGCGCCCGAAGAACCATGTAGACCTCAGATCGCGTTATTGATGAGGGCGAAGAAGCGGCCGTGGCCGTCATCAAATCGACAACCTTCTCCTGAAGGCCGCCCAGATTCACGACGAACATATCGTTGTCGGCAGATAGCATCAGAGTGGCTATCCTGCGAAGGTTGAGCTGTGTCTTTCGGTCCGCTTCTAGCCTGGCCGAAGAAGCTCCAACACCGAACATTATACCCGCCGACGTCGGAGATGAGAGACGGGACAGCAGTTCTGGCATCCGTTCTTTGTCTAGGAGCGTCCACTGTCGCAGTATTGGCGCCCAACCGTTCCAGACGAGGTCCAAAGAGTTGGTGTGGAAAAACCTTGGGTCATTGAATGCTTCCGCAACGTCTTTTCTCCAAGATTTTGAGGCTTCGGGAATTCGCGACATTGTTCTCATTATATCAAGTAGGCTTCCCGTGACGTTTCGCGGGAACGTCTTCCAACGGAAGGTCGGCGTAAGTACCTGCGTAGATATCGTCGTTGTAGCTGCAGTTATTCGGTCTGTATCAACCAGAATCTTTGAAATCTTGGGCAAGATCGAAGCGATGATGGCGACAACGTCTTCTGGTTCATTAGGTCTTGGGGGTTCAGGGAAGTCTGAAGGGTGATGGAGACCTTTCTCTTCATTCGTCGATAGGGGTAAATCTTGGGAGAATGCCAGCGGTTTGATTGTGAATGTAGCAGCAAGCAGGCGAACGAAGAGATCCTGTGTGCACATCAGCAATCCTTTTCCAGAAACACCGTCGCTCAACGACTTACTCCAATGTCTCGTCGCATTTTGCGTTGCTCTCCAAAGTTGGTATTGTCAATCTTTTCGCCGAGTATTGCGGTGAACTCTAGTAAGATTGGCAAAGTCTGCCTGTGAGGCAGCGGATTGCCAAGAACATCTCTCAAGAAGGTCATACAGTCAGTCCATATTTCATCCAGTGCGTCGTCTTCCATTGACCTTGTGTATGCTACAAGGAATATAGCAAGGTTAATATCAGATAGCTCAGATGTCAAAGTTGATTTCCGTATGGGATCTAGCACGTTCGGGTTGGTCCGGCTATACATTGCGTTGAATAGAGCTGGGATTGTGTTCTTTGGTCTTGATGCCTCCAGAGCATGCAGCAGATTGAAGACAGTGCTCGATTCGACCATGCCGCCTTCTGCTTCTGTTTTGTGCCAAAACTCAACAAGAGTCTCCAAACATTCTAAAGCCTCTGCTGCGAATAGGTGCTCCAATATCCGGCGAGTGCGATTTCTCAATCGTATTGACATGTAGCTGAACGATGCAGAGGCATTCCGTGGCGAGCTTCCTAATCCACTGTCTCCCCAGGACCACATATTGAAGGAAACCCTCACTGCATCTTTGAAGCAGAGCAAGACAGTCAGACGATTGTTAGCGGTGGTTGGCCTCGACTTCTGCGCCTCGGAAGCAAATACTCCTGAGACCATATTGCCGAAGAAGCCTTGTACCTGCTCCGGACTCTTGATAGCTACCGAGTGCCCCTCATCCTGCAGTAGCTGATCATGGCCTCTTGCAAGAACCTGTTCGAGACCGCCAAGGAGCGCATTGAGAACAGTGATCGGCTCACCAGCACCATGCGGTCCGCGTGAAGTGCCGGCAAACACAGCTTGCAAATCTTGAAAGACCGATTCAATGCTTCTACTGAAAGTGTCGACGAGGGGCATGAGAACCTGAAATGCATTACTGCTGTAGAAGGGTAAGCAATTGTCTAAGAACCGTATCCATAGCTCAAGAATCGGATGATTACTCGGGGAGCTGATGCCGAATGTCAAACAGTCTAGCAGAGCTGAGGTCTGTATAAATGGTTCAACAGATATATTGTCTTTATCACTCTTCTCTGTAGAGACAGATAGTTGAGAAGCACTGCGAATGGTGTCCCGGGAGGTGGGTCTTCGATGAGGGGTGAACAGAGCATCATTTTTGGTCATTCGCGTTTTTAGGATGATTAAGATAACATCCATCAATGGCAATTGAAGCATGTTGTCCGATTGCTCAACGGCCCGCGATAGCATTCCAATCAGAGATTCCTCTAGGTTCATCGCCACTAGCATAGTAGAAGAGGGAGCAAGTAGCAATTGCTTCAGAAGAGACGCCGAGGTTTGCTGTAGAACTGAAATCCTCTGGCGGACACCACCGTGTTGCTCCTGGTGGTGGTCCTCCAGAATTCTCATACAAACTTGGGTCAAATAAGACTGAACAGTCATAGCCGGTTCCTCAATATCTACGATGACTTTGACTGGTCCGGAGACTCCTGCTTCTTCGGTGTGCTTGTCCCTGTTTGTATTCGTGGCGTTCAACTTCCCAGCGAGCGACGCACTAATGTTCGCTGTGGAATGCTTGGTTATGTTGAGGATAGTCTGGAGATAATACAAGCAGTCATCAACTTCGAGCGAAGCACCGGTTTTGTCCAATATTTCCTGTTCATCGGTCCGTGCAGCTGAGTATCTCTCATGTGCTAAGTATGGCGAAGCATCAAGGCGATCAATCAAAAAGTCGATAATCCTATAAGGAAATTGTAAGCTCTTCTTCTATCACGGAAGACGTACTGGAGACTGACAGTTGTATGCTTGAAAGCGACTGCAACCAGCTCACAGTGAACATGAACAGTTCAGTTTTTGGATCAAAGAGCGAGTCAAGAAGAAGTAGCAACGGCTGCGCTAGTACAATTGGCTCCTTGATTCTTTTGCCTGATTGGTGCAGAGAACGTCCCGAGTTCAGACGACGATCAGTTGGTATTTTTGCAGTCGAGCCGCTATGAGCCCACACGGTAGCGAATCGACGGGCACCCTCAATCTTTACGTTCTGAGCTCTATGGCCATCCTCATCCTGTAACATGAGGGTAGCAATTGACCCCTCTACAAGTCGTACATCTGGCGATACTGAGTGAACTCGCCAAAGACAACGGACTGCCTCAACGCTATGTCTAGGTCTAGCAGGAGATATGTACGTCCAAAGGCCGGTCAAAAGGTTTGGGAGTATTTGTCGTACGCGATGGTTGGAATTCCACGCCTTCGAAGGCGATGCATTGCTCATCATTTCGAGAGTGGAGACCAGTACTGCAAGAGTAGGAAAAGGCAACATTTCAATTCCATTCTTGGCGACACCTGCATCTAAGGCCGTTGAAAGACTTGACATTACCGGTACCAGCGCCCCGTTATCGGGCTCCTCGTCGTCTTCCAGACTGGAAACTCGTGCTTTGCGTAGGAGCTTATCAAGAAAAGCTACCTCCTTCTCCAGGTAAGCTACCTGGATGGGCACTTCAAGTCCATGGGCAACAACCTGAGTGGCATTGTGCAGTAGCAGATCTCTTACGTTCGTGTTGTCAAGGGGTGGGGTTGCATCCTCTGAGCCTCTTTGCAAATTGTGATAAAAGTCCTGAATCTCTTGTAGAGTTTGAGGGCTGCTATCTTTCTGTCGTCCATTACTGCGGGCTTTAGGCTCTTTTTCTTCTCCGCTCTTAAGGATTTTGGCTGGAATAAGATCGAACAGGTGGATCGCAATATCGAACGCGATTTCGATTACGGGGAATACGCTTTCTTTGAAGGTGTTCGAAGGTGCTTCAAAATGAAGTCGCAAGCTGATTATCAGAGCTAGGGTGACCATTGGTATATGAATGGCCAGCATTTCTTCTTCCCGAATATTGAAATTTGTAATGACGAACAGCACAAGATCTAGACGATCCTTGGGGCTCAACAAGTCGACTTCTGGAGGCTTAGGATCTTTGGTCTTCAGTGCTCCGATTACAATCTTTGTCAGCTCGGCCCAGATCAAGCTACTCTCAATTGCATCAAAGAAAACGTTGGCGCTGCGCAAGACCTCCTCTAAAGCTTCCTTAGATGGAGCTAATCTCTGGTATTGCCAAACACTTTCCATTGCTGGTAAAAAGATCTGTGGAACCACAAGCCCGCCAATTTCCCAGCGATCCATTAGAGAGAGACATATTCGGAATGGACGAGCTTTCTCCAGGGGCTTTAAAGAATCATCCACAACCATTTTTAGTACACCACTGACCAAAGGTGCAAGTCCGTAACGCTCGAAATATTCCGTCTGAGAAAGCTGTAGATTGGAACTTCTTGCAGGAGTAATCGTTGGAGTGGAGTCTGGAGAACTCGAAGTGCTATCATCTGGCCCTGAGGATGCTTCTGGTCCTAAAAACCAAGTCCACAATCGACGGTTCAGACTCATCTCTCTGCGTACCACGACGGCCGCCGCTGCTGCAACAAGTAGTTCAAGGTCTCTAGATACAACCTTCTGACGTAGTACAGCAGAATGGAGTGGTAGATGGGTGACCAAAAGATCCAAGAAGCCTCTTTGGATCAGAAGCTGTTCATCTTGGAGGCCTGCAGCAAAACAGCGAACTAAGAGTCCTGGTTCCGGTGTAGTAACTGCTTCGATCTGGGTGGGAAGCTTCCTGCCAACGCCCCTCATTTCAGACTCTTCAGCATGATTGGATCCCGGATGTGGCCTAATAGATGTCCCTAGAGGAGGAAGCTCTCTGACCATATACGCCAGAGCACCCTGACGTCGACTTGGGCTGGTGATAGAGGCTAAAAATAAGCTTTGCCAATAATACTGATCACCGGAGACATTTGAGTGACCAATATTACGCTCGAGCCCCTGGCCAACTGCACTTTTGATCTTGTTCAAAAGACTGAGGGTGCGTTCAAATTCCTCGCTCGTTTCTTCCTCTAGGCCGGGAAGTAAGGCCAGGGTAATCGCCTTGAGAGCCGAGCGTAGCATGACTGGGTCTAGAGGTGAAATGAACGTCTCAAATAGCGATAGAAGTGTCGGCTTCACCGATAGTGATGCGAATGACAACGTAGGCGCCAGTCCAGGGAGATAGAGTGGTAGATCTCGTGAGAGACCATCTCTCTACTCAGTTGATTTTCAGATAATGCGGCAAGAAATAGAGGTTTTAACTTACGTCCAAAGTAGAAAATACATAGGCATATACTTCCAACGCCTTTTGGTGGACTCCCGAAGGAAGCGGTGGATCCAAACATTGTGATAAACGCTTGGCTACAAGCGCTTTATGTGGCACATCGGTGGTACCAGACGGTTTCGATTGAAGTGCCTAACGCATGGGTTTAGGCCGAGAGAATTTATCTGTGAGTGGGCACATTACCTTCAACAGACGTCCTAGGAAGGCAATATAGTCTGCCCATTCCTGAAGTGCGGTGTCAAAGAGAGACAAGGCCCGTTCGACGTTGGAAGCATAGCGTCGGTAACCCTTGTCTTTCCTGTTCGCTCCAGCTTTCAACCATGTTACTGCGTGGCTCAAAAAAGATCTATTTGGATATTCGGACGAATGTACCTTCATCAGGGATAGCAGGCGAGTTTGGGCGCACAGTCTGACTCGCATTGACCGGCATTCTGTCGCTGATTCATGGGTGACAACCTCTAGACTCAATGTATCGACGGTTTACGTTCCATACGGGTTTGCCGTAGAGAAGACAGAATCCGTACAACATTTTCATTATCTTAGAATGTGAGTGCCTGAAGTGAACAAGTAGCGTAGCTTCGCTAGCGCCCTTTACTCGTCGGCGGCGACGCGATAACCCCCCCCCCCCTTCCCATGCCACCAAACTTTCTATCCCCGACGGCCAATGCCCAATCGGCGTTCAGGCTCCCCACAAATTGCCCAACACCTTTAGACCCTGACGTCTATGGGCCATGATGGCGAGGACTCCTTGGCTACCAGCGAAGGTGGAGAAGAGCTTGCGAACGACCGGAGCAAAGCAACATCGCCGCCCAGAGATGGCGAGGACGAGTCTACGATTCGAGTATTGAAAGAGGAGGGTGCTGAGACGAGTTCAAAGGTGGAGTCATCTACGATATCGCAGGCACGCTTTCAAAGTCTAGAAACAGAACAAGAGTATCGTCCACCATTACCGCCGAGACCAACCAATGTGAATCTACTGCGAGAAGGGTCATACAGTCCGAAAAGTTCTCTCCAGAGATCCAGGAAGACTTCGCGACCGCAACTACTGTCTACTGCTACCACTGCTCTGTCCCGCACCGATATCCACACTCAGTCATACCAAGATGGATCCCGAGAGACCTTCGATGCCTCAGCGCAGACGACGCCCCCTTCAAAAGCAACAGCTGCGTTTGGCAGTATAAAGAGGATCAAAGACCTAAGTGGCAGCGAGGGTGGTGATTCTGCCAGCGTCAAGAGCTATGCGCCAAGTCTCGAGACAGGCGGGGATGTCGAAAGCCTACTGGGTGAAGTCCTCGGAGCATCTCAAGAGAGTCCTGCATGGAGGCTACATAGTACGCAAAACGGAGCTCTGAATCCATTCGACTCGGTTGCATACGAAGACGATGAGGCGACTGTAGATTTTTATCGAGAATTTGACGAGATCGGTGCAGTTGCTGCGGACGGTGAGAACGAAGGTAAGTTTAGACTGGTTTCAGATTCCAATATAGGTGACTGAATCGAACTTGCAGAGCAGCTACTGAACCAGTGGAAGTCCAAAAGAAAACACTTTTTGATACTCTCGTCGGCTGGAAAGCCCATCTACAACCGGCACGGCGATGACAATCTCATATCCGGGTACATCGGAATCATACAGACCATCATCTCTTTCTACGAGGGTGCACACGATCAGCTGAAAGGATTCACAGCAGCAGGCGCAAGATTTGTAGTCATGTCCCAGGGTCCTCTATACCTCGTAGCCATCAGCAAGCTCGGAGAGAACGACCTACAGCTTCGTGTCCAGCTAGAGGCTCTGTACATGCAAATTTTGTCTACGCTGACGTTGCCTAACTTGACCCATATGTTCTCGAATCGGCCATCCACCGATTTGCGACGTCCTCTGCAAGGTACGGAGCCATTGCTCTCCGCGCTTGCGGACACTTTCACTCGGGGCTCACCGCCTACATTACTCTCTGCGCTAGAATGTCTGAAAGTCCGGAAGACCCATCGGCAAGTCATCAATGATACGCTACTACGCACACGATGCGAGACTTTGTTATATGGCTTGATTGTAGCTAGTGGGAGGTTGGTCAGCGTCGTTCGACCAAGGAAGCATTCATTACATCCGAGCGACCTGCAGCTGATATTTAACATGCTTTTCGAAGCACGAGGAGTCAAGGCAGGAGGTGGAGAAAATTGGATACCATTATGTCTTCCTGGATTCAACAAGAATGGCTATCTATACATGTACGTCAGCTTCGTCAGCGCATACGAAAGTGGGGGGGAAGAAGGGCGTGAGGGCCAAAACGAGACCGGAAAACCGGACGACATAGCCATACTGCTCATCAGCGCTAACAAGGAAAGTTTCTATGACCTTCGCAAGATGAGGGATTCACTCGTTGAGGAACTCGAGGCCAATGGTAGCATGGCAATCATAAAATCTGCAGTACGGCGTGGCCGACCTACAGCAACAGACATTGTCCCCGGCACTGTGCTTCGCCATTTTCTGTACAAGTCTCGAGCCAATGTTCAATTCACCATGCCATCCTACGAGCCGAGCTTTACCACGCTACTGGCTAAACGGAGACTACTCTCGTTGTACCACGCACTCCACGCCAGCGTACACGCAAAGAACGCTCATCTCAAAGTGCATCATTGCATCAGTCGTGAGTCGATATCCCTAGCATGGGTAACGCCGCTCTTCGAGTTATACTGTGTCGCTGGTCCTCACGCCAGCCGCAACGCCCTCGCTCAGAGTGCCAACAAGGTCATACAGTGGGTACGAAGGGAGGAAGAAAGGGTGTTCATCATCGGTGGCGCAGTGAGTATCCATTCCTTGGACGAACATAATATCTGTAAATAACTGACTCCTCCTGCCGCCAGGTATTTTGAGCAAATTCAGTCCACGAGCACAACGATACCACGACGAGCAAAACCAATCCGTAGAAGGAAGCTTTTTATTCAATCTATCGTTTATGTGTGGTTCCATGGAGTGTAGCGCATCCACCGCCTTATCTTCAATCTCATTCCTCTTTCAAAACTCCAAAATTTCCGTACACCTCTTCCGCACGTTCCTCAGACCTCCCGCTTCCGACACCTGCGTGATACCAGCAAGCCTGCCTGTCAATCCGCAACGACTCTTCCCACGTGAGACCATCGCCAGTCGATTCCCCGTCTTTCCACAGTTGCATCCTCACTGTCATCGCAACCGCACTGCGCATGCATTCTGTTGTAGCGCAGCATATCCACGTAACTTTCACTCAGGACCGATCTTCGTTCCAACCCCCCTACCCTTCTTTCACTCATTCACTTGATGTCCGTCGCATTGCCTTCCGAGCCGCTACCCCATTGACAGTCGAAATGCCCGTAGGTGTCGCACAAACGGCGCCGTCCGTCGTCTCCGTCCGTCTCCCTTCGCCCAGATTCTCCAACAAAATCACTGATTCCAAGTCCACTCCTCGTCCCTCGGGCGGATAAACGCCCTCACCTCCTCACTGCCCCAATCGATCCCGTCCTCGTCCTCGTCCCTGCCGCTGCTCCCGGTCGCCTTGATGACGGTGGAGGCGGCGAAGGAGCGGAAGCGGGAGAGGGCGCGGGCGATGCGGGTGCCGTGGCTGGCGGTGCGTCGTTTGCGCCGGAGCGTGTTGATGCCGTCGTGGGAGTGCTTTGTGGGGAAGGAGCGGCGGACCCACATGGTGGCTGATAACAGTGGGGATGTGTATGTGTTTTTTTTCCGGTGGTGTGGGTGAGTATCTGATGTTCACGGTTGCTTGATGTTTGTGGTATGTGGTGTGTAGCAGTTTGAAGCAGGTGGTAGTGGTAGTGGCAGTCAGACAGAAGATGTGTTTGTTGCAGGAATCAAAGGACTGTTCATATGATAGATATATATCTAAAAGCGTTGAGTCACCGACTAAAAGAGTTCGAATTTCTCGAGCGAGAAGATTTAAAAAATGTGCTCAAATTGGTATATTTCCTTCTATCTAGGGTAAAGCTACAAGAAAAGCCTGGATAATCTACTATGTAAAAGCTTAACAAAATGCTATTGCTTATATTGATCCGAGCCATTCTCGTGTCATGAAAACCTCTATCAACGTCTGGCGAGAGCAAGATTGAGCGATGTTGCTTAAATGTTTGGTTGATGTTGTTTTCCGGTCATTAGGAAGGCATATCCGAAGAGCGAAGCCTAGGAAAAGCAGATTATAGCGAGAAAAAAAGAACACCATCCTCTGGTGATATGACTTTTCAGACCAGGAATATCGATCATAGTCAAACTCCTGCGTAAAGATCAGCGCTCACTGAGCGATCAATTGCTCCGTTGTAACGCCTCCTCCATCTCCATTCTCGGACGCGATCCTCGCCTCGTTGCCACCAGGATCTAAGCTTCTTCACGAGCTTTCGTCTGGCGCGCTTGGTCTGTGATGCACGGGAAGAAGCCCCGGCCGTGATTGCGGTATTCTCACTCTGCCTGCTACTGCGGCCACTAGCTCTCGATCTGCCTAAAGCGGAACTTAGTAAGCCTCGATCGTAGCCTCGAGGTTCATCTGTGGAAGCTCCTCTGGGCGCTCTATTTCTGAGTGCAGAAAACCGCTTCCTAAAGGCTCCCCTGGGACGCACTTGCGAACTATCGTCAGAGAAAAAGCTGCGGGCTTCGAAGCCGGGGGACGGGGGTACGAGCGTAATCCGTGGCGATTGCGTTTCAAAACTTTCAACGAAGCGGGTTTGATTCGGACTTGATCGAATAACATCATGGCTGCTGTTGATTTGCCCTGGCATTACGGATAGAGTGGGGTACCTCTTCCATCTGAAAGCCGTACCTTGGAACGCATCATAAGATGACGCGAATTGACTTGGTGAGGCGTCCGAGGATGAAGGATACTTAGTTATCTTCGCTGTACCTTCTGTAGTTGATGATGCTCGTTGGATTTTGAATCTGAAACGTGGCAAGCTCCTGGTGCTCTGGTTTGGATCCTCTGTTGGCTCAGGCATTGTGACTTCGAGCTTTGGCTGTTGATCGCTCCAAGGATAGCTGGTATCTAAATTCCATGGTCTTGAGTCAGGTGATGAGGCTATAGAAGTTCTATCAGGCCCAAACTGGGTTGCTGGTATTGGGGCTTCAGTCTCTTCATCTTCATATTTCTCCTCGCCTTGGTCCAAGCAAGACGAAGCCACGGGCTCAGGCTCTGCTGCCGAAGCAGTCTCGTCCTCACTTCTTCTCTGTATCAAAGGCGTGAACGAGAAGGGTAGACTCGGCAGGCGTGGTGCGACCGGAGGTGACAATGACACAACGGCTGGCCGTTCACTAGGTAGTGGGGGAAGCTCCTTGTTGGGGGATGGTGGTGGCTTGATGTCCGGAGTCAAATCTTCCTGAACGGTGTATTCTCTGGGTGATTCGAATTTCTGATCTGAGTCCAACGGTAATGGAATTGACTTCTTGGCTTCCAGGGTCAGAGCAACGTGAGTAAGGCTCTCTTCAGGAGACCCGAGGTCTTGATCAGGATCGGCAACTGGTGGATCTCGCACTTTGCGTAAATCAGATGTGGATCTCCTCACGGCTGGAGACCTTCGGATACTCAGAGGTCCCGGATAACCACGGTGCACTAATTGAGACGGTAGTGTGATTGGCGGGGACCTTGATCGATTATCCAAGGGACGCTCGTCTGGTTTACAGAATGTCTGCCGCAAACCCTGCGTCAGCTCAGGCTCATCCTCTGAATCCGACGCCTCAACTAGGGCATAGTCGGCTGCATTCTGTCTTGTTGCAATATCTCGCAGTTGTACAGATCGCTTTCGCCACGGAGGCTCGATGCGGGCAACGCGGGGCCTGCTGTCCATGGTGCCCTGCATTGGGCCATCTGCTCTGTCTTTCCCCTTGATTCGACTAGCAAGCTCGTCCAAATTCAACAGATCGTCATTGATAGATAAGATCTTGCTAAACCTACTGACACTGTTAGGCGATATAATAGATCTTTCCGGCGTTGGTGAGACAATCTCTGTTACTGTATGCTCATTCCCAGAGTGATCCTCGAAAGAAGTCGCTCGTACTAATTGCAGTGAACGCCGATTATCGCCTTCATGGCCCTTGCCATGATCAGAGCCTGCTGCCGGTTGTCCTACGGGAGGCGGAGAAGCAACAGAGCTAGGCACGGCCTCTGGATCTTTAGGGGAAGAGTTTTCCCATTCAGGCACAGGTTGGGGAGCAGGATGTGTTGAATGAATCGATTCAATAGGCGAAGACACGCGTCGTTTAGGGCTTTCTGAGGTCCGCGATGTAGTTGCTAGATTCTCGACTTGTAAAGGAGACTCGCGGCATAGTTCCTGGTCTGAAAACTGCTTTGAACGTCCTGTCGTTGCCATCAAAGGAGACGCTTGCTTAGGGAATGGGTACTGTATTTCTTGGTCAATAGGGACGTCATCGTGCTTTGTTGGTGCAACATCAGCCTCCGCATTTGACAAATCTCCCTCTGGAAGCTCAGGCACTTCGCTGAGATCCTTATGAAGCGCTTGTATTGAGCTTTGGTCATCCACCTCGAATTGTGAGGTAGTCTGATCAAATCTATTATCCGTGGATTGCGTTTTCAGCTTTGGGATACTGTCTTCGGACGGCAGTTCAGTGCGACCGGTGCTATCGGGGCTCGCATCAAGCTCGTAATATGTTGTGGTCGCAGTATCAAGCATTGGATGCTCCGCCAGAGTTCCCGCTGACATGCTGACGTAGTGTGAATAGTCTTGCTGCTCAACTCCTTGCTCTTCGAAAGCTTCTGTGTAATCATAAAATATAGGTGAAGGAGTTTGGATTTGAGAATTGATCCAGCTACCGTTTGGTGTTGCTTGAAGACCATTTGTTGAGCTTGCGATACTTTTCACGCTGGGTGAGGCTTTTGGTGTATGTGGGCGAGTGGAAGTTGGCGACGGACTCGGGGCTCTTCCAGATATCGGGACGGCGGACTGAGGGTAATAACGAAGCAACGGATCTGACCGGTTGACGCCCTTTCGCCAAGGTGAAGGAGCACCATTCGTGTGGAGCGAGGAAGGAGAGTTGGTGCGAAAGCTTGGACGGCGGTGGAGGCTCGTTTGGCTTCGATTCTGCTTGTTGAATTCACTGAGAGCTGGTGATGAAGGCCGATAGCCAGGGCGCTTGAGCCTAGTAGGATAAGCAAAAGGTGACCTCGGTCTCAAGTTGTGTGGACCTCCAGGGCCACCATGACCCCCATTGGTATGTGGATGGTGGGTGGTGAGACTGTGACTCGCGTATGAGCTTTTCGTTGTGGAGTACGACCGATAGTCTTCGATTGAAGGAGATCTCGCGGGCCCCCGATGCGACCTTGGGATCTGATTCTGAAACCCTGGGCCATTAGAGGCTGTTGTCTCTTGACGGGAGTGCAATGGAGTGTGGCGTATATTGGTGTCTTCGTCTCTGTTGTAGTATGCTCCTGGCTGACGTTGCTTGCTGGGTGTCGCGCGGGCCTTCGACGGCCGTGGGAGTGAAGGCGGTACTCGAGACGGTTTGATGGAGAATTGGCCCACATTGCCTGTCTCCGTCGTGTTTCTGAGCATGCTTTGGATGGAAGATGGGTTCTTGAGTATATTCGAATTCTCGTCTCCATTTAGTGGGCCCGTGCGAGGATTACCATCGTGGACGTCGTCTTGAGACTGCCCGATTGCATTCCTTGCAGGGTGATAGCTAGGCAGCTCGGAGAGTGGCATCACTGTCATTGTGCCTTCACCACCTCCGAGCACTAACAAGAAAGGCCACCTCGCAGTACGGGAGAGTCAATGGAAACTCAAGCTGAGAAGATGAGGTTTGGCGGGGACGGACTGAGAAATAGCGCTAGTCCATGATGGTGCATCTTGACTACAACGGAAGGAACAGCACCTACAATGTCTTCTTCAAATTGTACTATAAATATTAAACAAACCACAATTCGAATCAATCGTGACTTCAGTAGTACTGTTAGTGAGATACTTGAATACGCAGGGTTCAGATAATTCATTTACAACAAAGAAAAGCGCCGCCGCTCACGAGGCAACCATTCTTACATTTTCCTGTACAGGAGGGTGAAGCCTGCCTTACTTTATGCTCACTGCAACATTTAGTCAGGTGCTGCTGCTGTATGGGATGTACGAAGCGAGCCATCAGCTCCGACGAAAGCGCAATCATTTGCCCCTGACCTTACATCTTGAGTGTCAATGGCATGCATTACGAGACCATCAACATGTTGCTTGTCAGTTCCTTTGCGTTTTGATTGGTCAACGACGTTCCTTCATTATGGCAGAACCAGATGGCTCTTGGTACGGGAAGTTGGAGAAGGCAAGACCAATAAGCGTCTCGTCTCGTCTCGTCTCGAAGCGCCAGTATGCGTGTATTGTAATCTAGGGTTCAGCATTGTCTTCAGGATTATAGTGGTTAATGGGCACACCTCATTCGCTTGGGTAGTACTGGAATTCCTGGCGTGAAGCAGTCCTGGAGGCTGGAGGTGGTGATACAAGCGCCAAGCTCGCTAAGCCCCTTGTAGACTGGCGCGCCCTGCTGCAGAACTGACCTCGTGACTCGTGAGGCAATTGTGCTTGGCGTTGGTGGTCTGGTCACCTGTGGAAGATAACGCAGAACACGCTCCGGATCCATCGCCAACCCATCAAGACACTGATCTTGGTCATCGAAAAGCTTATCTTTCTACATAGTTGACGTCATGGCGAGACCCGAAGGCATTACAAGACATCCTCCTGTCCCCTTCTACCCTCCCTGACATCACCATCCTCAGCCATCCTCGACCATCCAACCCCACAATATCAACATAACCGAAGACTAGACCAACACCATAACCACCATGGCCTCCACCGACTCCACCGTCCCTGATACTAGCACCGGCGACTCAGCCGGCGGGCACGCAGGCCAAAGCTTCACAGACAAAGCCAAGTCTGCCCTTAAGGGCAACGTGCCCGTAAATGGCTCTCTCAACCTCAATGTATGTCCGTCTGCTAATGAAAGTGCAGACCGCCGACAAGGGCACCGAACAGAGTGCTGAAAAGGATGTAAAGGAAAGGATGGATCAGGGCGTAGGCAAGGACACTGGCTCGAGTAGTACACAGAACACGCTGCTATAAGAAGTAGGAGAGGAAAGATGGGCACAGCAGACAGAGGTAAAGGGTGGAGACAACGTGGAGACAACATGGAAACAAGGCAGAAGCTTCTACTGGGAGTCTTATTGATAGAATTCAAGATTTGTAGCTGCGAAGATCAACATACCATCTCTGTGCAGGTCCCTTGGCCGTCCCAAATTCCGCACACTTCTTTAAGCACCAGAGCCATGCGTGCAATGCCACAACAAATACTGAGCTTAATGCGACAAGGCCGTCAAGAATCCTCACAGCGCAGGTCCTGTACAGAACAGCGAGCAAAGACATATACTTCATCATATGGGCATCATACCAATCCCACCACCATTTAGGCCTCCTCGGAATCCACCACGTTTGGCTGGTCCGCCGCCGAAGCTGCTTCCACTACTTCTGCTGCTTGTAGATTTGCTCTTTATAACACCCGCGGAAGCTTTGCCCTTACTGGTGCTACCAGACGCTTTTCTGTTCTTCTTCCATTGGCCTCGGGAGTTACCGCGTCCACTTCTACCACCACGACTCTTCGAATCGTCGTAGGACTGTGCTCGTGCAGGAGGAGCTGGCGCAAGTTGAGAGACTATAACTGATTAGAAAGCGCTTTCCTTTGCCAATCGATTTGACGTACTCCTTGCGTTCAATGCAATCACGTCAGGAGAGGGCTGAAAGAAGTGGCTTCGTTCCTCCACTGATTCATCGTCTCCTTCGAGATCATCAAGTCCATTCCCGTCGTCAAACTCGTCATCACTACTGAGCTCGATAATGTTCTGGTGATTTGGATCCTGAGGCCGGTCTTCCTCTCGCTGCATCATGGCTTCATAGTTGCAATGAGCTTCGCGGACGAGTTTGAGAAACTCTTTGCCATGAATCTCAACCTTGTTGGGGTCAATACCAGATATCTCAAGCATCTCGTCCTCATCTGGTGTTTATTAGCAGAAGCGCCATAAATTCAAGGTAGGGAGTTTACTTGCTTTGCGGGAAGTTGATTGCCATTTCTCGAAGAATAGTATCCGTGAAAGGATGACCCTTCAAGGCCTTCTTGATAAGAATCTGATGGTCTTCAGTACTGTGCCGTGGTCAATGTCGATGTTGAGGAGAGCTCACCTTCTGACTTAGTTCCTTCGCATTCTGTAAGAAGTCGTCCACCACCATTCGATGAATGATATTCAGCCGCTCCAGCTTTTCGTCGATGGTAATTGGTGGCCCAAGTGGCTTTTTGGCTACGCTCCGAGACTGTCCCTTCTCTCGTATAGGACCAAAGCCGTCTTCCGATTCATCCTCTGTTGCGTTAAACGAGCCATCCTCATCATCGTCTACCACAAAATCTTCACCGCAGTAAACGTTCCTGTGCAATTCAAGCTCGGGTTGAGCATATTTCTTATGCTTGACACGTCGTCTAGAAGCGGCTTGGATAGGAGACGAGACATTCGTGGATGTCGGACAGTCTGGACGCGACGCGGCCACTCCAGTCTCCCTGTTCTTGGACACTTTTTTTGGAGCTTTATTCGGGTCTTTGGTCTTTCCGGTTGGAGACAAACGAACTTGCAATTTGAGCTTTCTCCGGCCTTTCGCAAAGTCATAGCTATTTTTCCCCGTCTTTGCATGGTCAGTATTCGCAAAGAGGTCGATTGAGTGATCGATACTTACATGAACATACTGGTTGGCGAATCCGGATTTATTCATGACATTGTGCTCCGACAACGCGTCTTCACTCAAAAGCCTATAGAAGATACGTTCTACGTCTCCTCGGTCTATGTTGGAACCGACCCCGTACTCTGGGACTTCGCTATGATGCAGGTCGGTGATCTTCTTGGTCTTACTCCCACGGAACACATCGACGCAATGAAGCAGCGTAACTTGGTCCTTTTCTATCCTCTTGACCATGGATATGGCAGCAGTAGCGAGTTCGCTGAAATCCTGAGTCTCAAAAGTGCTATTGCTATTGCAATTGTCGCATGAGCCTTTGCAATCCTCTCGGTTGAAGGATTCGTTAAAATAATTGAGGACTTGTACTCTTCGGCAATCGCTTTTGTTCTCACAAAATTGGATCACATTCCGAAGCATCTGACGTTGGCGTTCCTTTTGTTCCCAGGTGCCGTCTCCCTCGTCAATCATGCGCTTTAGAGCACTGGTGTCCTGGTAGCCGTAGTAAAGGTAACACCCAGAGCGTTTGCCATCTCGTCCAGCGCGGCCAGTCTCTTGATAGTAGCCCTCAAGACTTTTGGGGATAGTGTGATGGATCACGAAGCGTACATCGGGTTTGTCGATACCCATGCCGAAGGCAATTGTGGCAATGATGACGTTGTAGGCCCCGGCCTGCCACTGTCTTTGGACCTTTTTCTTCTCCTCCGGTTCCATACCAGCATGATAGTGATGGGCCATAATGTTGTACTGCTCACGAAGCTTGGTCGCAATGTCTTCGCAGTTCTTTCTCGATAGACAGTAGATAATGCCAGACTGACCTCTGTAAGACGTATTGATTGTGTTCGCTATGCTATCGAGTACGTCCTTTGCCTTGGTCTTGCTCCTTACTTCATAATCCAAATTAGGCCGATTGAAGCTTTGAGAAAAAGTTTCGCAGTTCTTGATACCAAGATTGTGGATTACGTCGATTTTCACGTTCTCAGTGGCCGTAGCAGTCAGAGCTATGACAGGTACACCTGGAAATTGTTGCCTTACCTCCCCTAACAGCTTATAGTCAGGTCGAAAGTCGTGGCCCCACTGACTGACACAATGCGCTTCGTCAATGACGATGCGCGCCAGCTTTCGTCGTTTATGAAGATCTCGGAAAGCGCTGACCATGGCTTGGCTTTTGTTTATCATTTCTGGCGTGATATAAAGTAATTGGCAGAATTTATGAGGTTGTTGCTCCTTGAGGCAATTCATGACCAATCGACGATACTCCGCTGTAACTTCACTGTTTACCAGAAGAGCCTGAATCTTGAGTTTCTGCAGATGCTCAACCTGATCTTGCATAAGACTGAGCAATGGAGATATGACAATTGTGACACCTTGGGTCTTTCCTGAATTCACGATAGCCGGCAGTTGATAGCAGAGTGATTTGCCTCCTCCAGTTGGCATCAAAACAAAAGCATCCTTTCCGGCCAATGTAGCGTTGATAGCTTCAAGTTGGTTGGGCCGGAAGCCTCGCAGATGAAAGCGGTCTTTCAAAGCAGCCTTTACATCTTTAGACCACACGTGTTGCATCTGCGTAGGCTGGGGAGCCGTATGAACAAAGGCGGGACCAGGCTTTGACGCTTCTGGCTGTAAAGCATTACCGGAAGTCTCTGCGAAGACATCACGTCGTCGGATATCATGGTTAGAGTAAGGTCTAGTGTTCCGGTTTTCGACTTCTTCTGCGACCTCGAGCATGTCTACATCATCGTTGTCTTCGCCGTACTCATCTTCATCGACATCTGCCTGGAACGGACTGCCCATGTGCGTCGTGAAAAGATCTTCATCTTCTTCAATATAGTCTAGCTTAGCATCCCTAGGACGAGAAGGCGTCTTGGTACGGCTAAAATCTTGCGTCATGGAATCTCGCTGCTGTGCGCTTGCTCCTGCCCGCCGAGATGTCTGCTTTGAAGGGGAGAAGT